CCCAACCCCTACCATGCAGGAGATCCAGCATGGCCAGGGATGAAACTAGGACAATTTAGAGAGGAGCCAATTAACCTACCAGCATATCTTTGAAGTGTGGGAGGAAACCGAAGTACCCGGTGGAAAACCACGCGAACACAGAGAGAACATGCAAACACCATGCAGGAGGTGCCAAGGTTGGGAATCGAATCCATGACCCAATTACTGCAAGGCAGAAGTGCTAACGACTAACCCCCTGTGCCGCCCGCATATATATATATACAGTGGGGATCGAAAGTTTGGGCACCCCAGCTAAAAATTTGTATTAATGTGCATAAAGAAGCCAAGGAAAGATGGAAAAATCTCCAAAAGGCATCAAATTACAGATTAGACATTCTTATAATATGTCAACAAAAGTTAGATTTTATTTCCATCATTTACACTTTCAAAATAACAGAAAACAAAAAAATGGCGTCTGCAAAAGTTTGGGCACCCTGCAGAATTTATAGCATGCACTGCCCCCTTTGCAAAGCTGAGACCTGCCAGTGTCATGGATTGTTCTCAATCATCGTCTGGGAAGACCAGGTGATGTCAATCTCAAAGGTTTTAAATGCCCAGACTCATCTGACCTTGCCCCAACAATCAGCACCATGGGTTCTTCTAAGCAGTTGTCTAGAAAACTGAAACTGAAAATAGTTCACGCTCACAAAGCTGGAGAAGGCTGTAAGAAGATAGCAAAGCGTTTTCAGATGTCAATATCCTCTGTTCGGAATGTAATTAAGAAATGGCAGTCATCAGGAACAGTGGAAGTTAAAGCAAGATCTGGAAGACCAAGAAAAATATCAGACAGAACAGCTCGCAGGATTGTGAGAAAAACAATTCAAAACCCACGTTTGACTGCACAATCCCTCCAGAAAGATCTGGCAGACACTGTAGTTGTGGTACACTATTCCACTTTAAAGAGATACTTGTACAAATATGGTCTTCATGGAAGAGTCATCAGAAGAAAACCCTTCTATGTCCTCACCACAAAAATCATCGTTTGAACTTTGCAAATGAACATATAGACAAGCCTGATGCATTTTGGAAACAAGTTCTGTGGACCGATGAGGTTAAAATTGAACTTTTTGGCCGGAATGAGCAAAGGTACGTTTGGAGAAGAAGGGGCACAGAATTTAATGAAAAGAACTTCTGTCCAACTGTTAAGCATGCGGTTGGATCAATCATGCTTTGGGGTTGTGTTGCAGCCAGTGGCACAGGGAACATCTCACGAGTAGAAGGAAAAATGGATTCAATAAAATTTCAGCAAATTTTGGATGGTAACTTGATGCCATCTGTGAAAAAGCTGAAGTTAAAGAGAGGATGGCTTCTACAAATGGATAATGATCCTAAACACACCTCGAAATCCACGGGGGATTACATCAAGAGGCGTAAACTGAAGGTTTTGCCATGGCCTTCACAATCTCCTGACCTCAACATAATTGAAAATCTATGGATAGACCTTAAAAGAGCAGTGCGTGACAGACAGCCCAGAAATCTCAAAGAACTGGAAGACTTTTGTAAGGAAGAATGGGCAAAGATACCTCAAACAAGAATTGAAAGACTCTTGGCTGGCTACAAAAAGCGTTTACAAGCTGTGATACTTGCCAAAGGGGGCAGTACAAGATATTAACTCTGCAGGGTGCCCAAACTTTTGCAGACGCCATTTTTTTGTTTTCTGTTATTTTGAAAGTGTAAATGATGGAAATAAAATCTAACTTTTGTTGACATATTATAAGAATGTCTAATCTGTAATTTGATGCCTTTTGGAGATTTTTCCATCTTTTCTCGGCTTCTTTATGCACATTAATACAAATTTTTAGCTGGGGTGCCCAAACTTTCGATCCCCACTGTATATATATACATATATATATGATTTCTTATTTACTCCCTAGTTTTGGCTAGTGTAGGGACATGGACCTTATTGCCTGTTTTACCCTGTTGAAAGCCCACAGCATCATACATTAAACATGTTTATACATACAGCCCCATTCACTCAAATGGTTTGGATTAGGTGGCAGTATTGCACATCAAAACACGACTGTACTGTATAGTTTCTCCCATGGCCATAAAACCTCACAGCCGCGGTTAAGGGGGGTGGTGAAACTGCAGCTTAGCTGTCTATTTTTTTACTGTCCTCGGCTGCAAGTGTGAACAAGCCCTTACCCTGCTTCATCAGCTCTTCAGGAACCACCTTTTAGGTTGACTGTACACTATACAACCTGATTGTACAATCTTCTTGTGGCCAGAGCTGACATTTCCTGCACGGTAAAACATCACATGTTACTGCACAGGAAGTGTCACATGTGGCTGGTGGTGCCTTATGCTTTTTAAGAGTAGATCTCTGTTTATTTTTGCTTTTTACTTTATTGGAATATTCCATGTGACATTTCATTCAGGTCTATGTATTGCAGCTCAGATGCTGTGTGTGGAAACACAGGGAAACACGGAGAAATGGAGGTGCGGATGAGCTGTGGTGTGGGATGGAAAACGCAGACATGTTGCAGATTTCGGCACCATAGCACACCCAAATGCTCCTCCATGTGTTAACCAGGCACACAGTAAACAGTTGTGGTCCCTTGCAGTGATCGGTGGTTTTCTACTGCAGATCCACACTGATGTAATAGAAGGACAAACCCAATCGATGCAATCAATCTTTGTACAATAAGGCAGCCCCCCGCACTGCATAGAAGATTGTAGATGTAAAGGAGATTGTACAATGCATAGTCTGTGGTCAGCCTTTTGGTGGCCATATACCCTCACCGGCCACTTTATTAGGTACACCTTGCTAGTACCGGTTTGAATCCCCTTTTGCCTTCAGAACTGCCTTGATTCTTCATGGCACAGATTCAACAAGGTGATGGAACCATTCCTCAGAGATTTTGGTCCATATTGACATGATAGCACCATGCAGTTGCTGCAGATTTGTTGGCTGCACATCCATTATGCGAATCTCGCATTCCACCACATCCCAAAAATGCTCTATTGGATTGAGATCCGGAGATTGTGGAGGCCATTGGAGTTCAGTGAACTCACTGTCATGTTCAAGAAACCAGTTTGAGATGATTTGAGCTTTGTGACATGGTGCATTATCCTGCTGGAAGGAACCATCAGAAGATGGAGTCATAAAGGGATGGACATGGTCAGCAACAATACTCAGGTAGGCCATGGCACTGTAATTGGCTCAGATAGAGAGTCAGGCAGCTGATGTCACAATCTCCACCTCAGCCAATCAGAAGAAGCCTTGTATTCATAAAAATACAAGGTTTCCTGTGAATGACTGAACAGCACTCAGCCCTACTCAGTTTTGTTCCTGAAATGGGATAGAAAGTTTCTGTACTGATGCCGGAGCACAGCACTGTTTACTGTATATAAGGGAACCTGCATATATTTATACACTCACCGGCCACTTTATTAGGTACACCTTGCTAATACCGGGTTGGACCTCCTTTTGCCTTCAGAACTGCCTTAATTCTTCATGGCATAGATTCAACAAGGTGTTGGAAACATTTCTCAGAGATTTTGGTTCATATTGATAGCATCACGCACTTGCTGCAGATTTGTCAGCTGCACATCCATGATGTGAATCTCCCGTTCCACCACATCCAAATGGTGCTCTATTGGATTGAGATCTGGTGACCGTGGAGGCCATTGGAGTACAGTGAACTCATTGTCATGTTCAAGAAACCAGTCTGAGATGATTTGAGCTTGGACATCGTGCATTATCCTGCCGGTAGCCACCAGAATATGGGTACACTGTAGTCATAAAGGGATAGACATGGTCAGCAACAATACTCAGGTAGGCTGTGGTATTCTAACAATGCTCAATTGGCACTAAGGGGCCCAAAGTGTGCCAAGAAAATAGCCCCCCACACCATTACACCACCACCACCAGCCTGAACTGTTGATACAAGGCAGGATGGATCCATGCTTTCATGTTGTATACTCCAAATTCTGACCCTACCATCTGAATGTCACAGCTGAAATCAAGACCAGGCAATGTTTCTTCAATCTTCTATTGTCCAATTTTGGTGAGCCTGTGTAAATTGTAGCCTCCATACTGTTCTCAGGGCACCCGATGGGACCCAATGTGGTCTTCTGCTACTGTAGTCCATCTGCTTCAAGGTTGTGAGTTCAGAGATGATATTCTGCATACCTTGGTGGTAACAAGTGGTTATTTGAGTTACTTGAGTTACTGTTGCCTTTACATATATTTGAAATGCTACAATTTTTGCCATTTTCAGTATATTTTAGAAAAAAAAAAAATATATTACATATATTTATGCTATTTTATATATATATATATATATATAAATATATATATATATATATATATATATACCGTATGCTGAAATGCATTTTTATTACAAAATATATGACAAATATGTTTAAAAATACATTTCAATTATTTGAAATGCATTTACAAATATATGTTAAAATGACTTTTTTTATATGTTAAAAAAAATCTGAAGAATATATTTTAACCACAAGCCTACAGGACACTTATACCCCCTTCCTGCCCAGGCCAATTTCCAGCTTTCAGCGCTGTCATGCTTTGAATGACAATTGCGTGGTCATGCAACACTAACCATATGAAATTTTTATAATTTTTTGAGCTTTATTTTGGTGATATTTACTCACCTCTGGGATTTTTATTTTTTCTTAAACAAACCAAAAACCACAGAAATTTTTTTTTTAAAAAAGTTGTTTCTTAGTTTTTGTTATAAAATTTTGTAAATAAGTGATTTTTCTCCTTCACTGATGTGCGCTAATGAGGCTGCAATGATGGGCACTGATGGGCTGCACTGATAGACACTGATAGGTGGCACTGATGGGCACTGATGAGGAGGCACTGGTAGGTGGAAACTGATGGGTATTGACAGGCATCACTGATGGGCACTGAAAGGCAGCACTGATATATGGCACTGATAGGTGGCACTGTTAGGTGGCACTGATGGGCACTGGTAGGCGACACTGACTGGCACTGTTAGGTGGCACTGACTGATAGGCACTGACTGATAGGTGAAACTGATTGGCAGCACTGATAGGTGGCACTGACTGGCACTGATGGGTGACACTGAAAGGCAGCTCAGATGGGCACTGATATGTGGCATTGATGCGGCACTGATGGACATTGGCACATGGCACTGATGAGCACTGACACAAGGCACTGATGGACACTGACAGGTGGCACTGCTGGGGCTACACTGATCATCAGGGCACACTGATCATCAGTGCCCTGATGATCTGTGTATATGTCCCCTCCGTAGAATGCCGATTATTGGCTCTCCTGTCCTCTGTCAGCAAGACAGCTCGTGAGGAGATAAAAGCCGATAACCGGCATTTCCCTGTTTACATGTGATCAGCTGTGATTGGACACAGCTGATCACATGACCGAGCCGACATCTTCGGCTCTTTCCGTGGATCGGTGATCTGCTGTGTCCGAGGGACACAGCGCACCGCCGATCGCTGCGCTGCGTGCTCCCTGAGCCGCACATGCGCGGTGAGAATGGAAGGACGTCATATGACGTCCTCCCAGAATGAGAGAACCACCTTGTGCCCGTCATTTTACTATATGGCGGGTGGAAGGTGGTTAAAAAATATATATTTTTAAAAATGTTTTTTTTTTTAATATATTCTTCAGATTTTTTTTTCCTCTTTCATTTAGGTTACCACAGGTTTACCAATAGAAGGCACTTTTTTGAGTTAATACATACTTGAATAGGATTGTTTTTAGCGTCACGCTAAGGCTGGCCATACATCATACAATTATCTTGTATAATTTTCCTTTAGATTTACCAAAAACCATATAATAGGAGGTCAAACCTGAACAACACTTTCAATTGTATACAATTAGGCAGGCCCTTGCACTACGTAGTTGAAAGTAAATCTAAAGGAAATTGGGCAGAAATTGTATATAAAATTGTATAGTGTATGGCCAACCTAAAGTTTATATCCATCTTTAGTGATTGGGTTTAGGTGAACCTAAAGGCTAATTAAATGTGCTTTCTGACTGCGTCCTTGTTAGCGGTTCACTGATTGACAGGGGCACTATTCCTCCCACTGACACCAATGATGGGGCACTATTCCTCCCACTGACACCAATGATGGGGCACTATTCCTCCCACTGACACACCAATGATGGGGCACTATTCCTCCCACTGACACCAATGATGGGGCACTATTCCTCCACACTGACACCAATAATGGGGCACTATTTCTTTCACACTGACACCAATGATGGGGCGCTATTCCTTCCACTGACACCAATGATGGGGCACTATTCCTCCCACTGACACCAATGATGGGGCACTATTCCCTCCCACTGACACCAATGATGGGGCACTATTCCCCCCACACTGACACCAATGATGGGGCACTATTCCTCCCACACTGACACCAATGATGGGGCACTATTCCTCCCACTGACACCAATGATGGGGCACTATTCCTCCCCACTGACACCTATGATGGGGCACTATTCCTCCCACACTGACCAATGATGGGGCACTATTCCTCCCACTGACACCAATGATGGGGCACTATTCCTCCCACTGACACCAATGATGGGGCACTATTCCTCCCACTGACACAATGATGGGGCACTATTCCTCCCACCAATGAAGGGGCAATATTCCTTCCACGGACACCAATGATGGGGCACTATTCCTCCACTGACACCAATGATGGGGCACTATTACTCCCACTGACACCAATGACGGGGCACTATTCCTCCTACTCACACCAATGAAGGGGCACTTTTCCTTCCACGGACACCAATGATGGGTCACTATTCCTCCCACTGACACTAATGACGGGGCACTATTCCTCCCACACTAACACCAATGATGGGTCACTATTCCTTCCACACTGACACAAATGATGGGGCACTATTCCGTACACACTGAAGCCAATGATGGGGCACTATTCCTCCCACACTGACACCAATGATGGGTCACTATTAATTCCACACTAATACAAATGATGGGGCACTATTCCTCCACACTGACACCAATGATGGGGCACTATTCCTCCCACACTGACACCAATGATGGGGCACTATTCCTCCCACACTGACACCAATGTTGGGGCACTATTCCTCCACACTGACACCAATGTTGGGGCACTATTCCTCCCACACTGACACCAATGATGGAGCACTATTCCTTCCACTGACACCAATGATGGGGCACTATTCCTCCCACTGACACCAGTAATGGGGGAACTATTCCTCCCCACTGACACCAATGATGGGGACTATTCCTCCCACTGACACCAATGATGGGGCACTATTCCTCCCACTGACACCAATGATGGGGCACTATTCCTCCCACTGACACCAATGATGGGGCACTATTCCTCCCACTGACACCAATGATGGGGCACTATTCCTCCCCTGACACCACTGACACCAATGATGGGGCACTATTACTTCCACACTGACACCAATGATGGGGCACTATTCCTCCCACACTGACACCAATGATGGGGCACTATTCCTCCCACTGACACCAATGATGGGGTACTATTCCTCCCACTGACACCAATGATGGGGCACTATTCCTTGCACACTGACACCAATGTTGGGGCACTATTCCTCCCACACTGACACCAATGTTGGGGCACTATTCCTCCCACACTGATACCAATGATGGGACACTCTTCCTCCCACACTGACACAAATGATCGGGCACTAATATTTCCACTGACATCAACAATGGGCACTATTCCTCCCACACTGACACCAATGATGGGGCACTATTCCTCCCACTGACACCAATGATGGGGTACTATTCCTCCAACTGACACCAATGATGGGGCACTATTCCTCCCACTGACCCCAATGATGGGGTACTATTCCTCCCACTGACACCAATGATGGGGCACTATTACTTCCACTGACACCAATGATGGGGCACTATTCCACCTACTGTGGGAGGAATAGTGTCCCACCATTGTTGTCAGTGGAAGGAATAGTGCCCCATCATTGGTGTCAGTGGGAGGAATAGTGTCCTACAGTTTTTGTCAGTGGAAAGAATAGTGCCCCATCATTGTTGTCAGTAGGTGGAGCTCTAATAGGAAGAGGTGGAGCCTAAATAGGAAGGGGTGAATTTTACAGACAAAGGGGTGTACCTTAAAGAAGAAGGGGTGGGACACATTTAGATGCGGGGGGGGTGCCCATTTTTAGTCTTGCCTAGGGCAGTACAAAACCAAAATACACCACAGACCTCATGGTAAGTTGACTAGATTTTCAAAATGAAATCCAGGTAACATCCTATTGCTTTTATTGGGGGTGGAGCGGGGGGTTGGGAACATAACAGAATGCAAAGCACGCCACACTAAATGTTGATTGTGACCACGCTAACAGTGGGAGGGGCCTAAGAGGGTATGATATAATGACACCTAGGCCAAACTTTGCTCTGAGTCAAGAGTGCTGACCCAGGTGTGCATTGCAGGTCACCGTCAACAAGCAATGGCAAGGCAACAAATAATCCACAACCCCAGTGACCACAAATGAAGTCTGCACAAGTCAGGAGAGGAAGGACTGGGGCCACCATATAGTATTGCCATGTGAGATCAGCAATAAAGCTGGCCACACCCCAAAATTGGGGACTAACATTAGGGACAGACGGGTAAAATACTGGTCAAGTGGAAACCTTAGTTTCAGGTCACATTCTCAAAAAATAAGCAGCAAAAAGATATAGAAAACTTTATCACACATATATAAAGAAGATCTGGACTGGAGAAGCATGCCAATTAAAAGGAAGTAGAGAGCAAATGATTAGAGTGGTCTTTCTGCAGCTGATCTGTCCCCCATTACTGACTTACCATGTTTTAGTCTGCACCGTGCCTCTGTGTGGGGGCTACATGGGTGACAACAGTGAATGTCCCTTTTTTGGTTGTGAAGCTGTTGAAATACAGTGTTCATGTATTTTGTGCAACAACTACATCAGTACTCAGTAGAGATATATTCTTCAACCAGTAGATGGCAGTAATAAAGGTACAAATGCTGCACTCAATCATAGTTGCAGCATATGGAAGATATCTCACAGTGTTAAAACTTCATTAATATGATATATACAGATTAATGTGACTGTTGTGACACAACGAACAGTAATAAACATTCGTGACTGTCGTGACTGTGATATTAAATGATATTAACAGCAACACCGCTTATTAGGTATAGATCATGCGGAGTGAAGTGGCAGAAAAGTAAAATACGTGACTGTTAAAGCTGGAAGCAATGAGCATACTATGCACCCATTACAAATATCTTGTAGTAATGAAAACTTATAGGATATAGTTCATATGAAATGATGTGACTGTGGTGACACAAAGAACAGCCGATAACTTTCGTGACTGCTGTGGCTGGAAGCAATGAGCGTACTATGCACTAACCAGATAGCACAGATATATGTGCGTTGGAGTAAATAAGACCTACTCCTCGGTACTCTGGGGGTGGGAACTCAGCATGCGGATGTGATCATCAGGCGGAGGTACTTCACCAGCTGTCATCTATCCAAAGCAGGTTTCCACATCTCAAGTTAACTGTGTCCAGCAGTACAATTTCCAGCCATTAGGGGGATCATACGAGGCAGATGGGAGCCAGGAAAAGATCCTTCAGGACAAGGACTCTCAGTGCCAGATAAATGAGCCATGAGAGAAAAGAACTCCAATAGTGTAGTATGTTTAATAATCAAAATAGGAGTAACATCAAAGTACAAGTAAGTAAACAGAGCCAGCACTTACATCTGAGGTAGTTAGTGGTTAGCATTCCATGAGAAAAGGGTATCACCCTAACGCGTTTCGTGTAATAACACATTTTCACATTTTTCCTTTGAAAATGTGTTATTACACGAAACGCGTTAGAGAGATACCCTTTCTCATGGAATGCTAACCACTAACTACCTCAGATGTAAGTGCTGGCTCTGTTTACTTACTTGTACTTTGATGTTACTCCTATTTTGATTATTAAACATACTACACTATTGGAGTTCTTTTCTCTCTGGGCTCATTTATCTGGCACTGAGAGTCCTTGTCCTGAAGGATCTTTTCCTGGCTCCTTGTTGCGGTGAAGCAGAAAAGCACATGTGGGACTGGGCACTGTCTGCTCTGTAGGCCTATATACACAATTTCTAACAGATTACAGGCCAAGTCATAATCGACTACAGCAAAAAAGTGCAAGATACAGCAACAGAATAAAAAAAATGGCCAGTAAGGGCTCGTTTACACTTGACTTTATTTCTAACTCTTGCCAAACTCCTGTCACGTTTGACAGGCGTTAGACAGGAGTTTGGGAAGCATTTTTAACGTTCCTCGAACGCTCTCCAAATGCCCTATGCATGGTTTTGAGGCCAAGCGTTAAAACCGAACCACAGACGCCTATAATGAAGTTAAATGGTTTCAACGCTCTGCAACCGCCTCGCAACCGCCACGCAAATGCCTGCCAGATGTTTGAGGAGTGGAACCATAGACTTGACGCAAACGCGACGCTAACGCTTCAGTGTGAACAGCACTGTGTGCTGCCATGTGCAGAATTTTCATAGGCATTTGAGAAGTGTTAAAAACGCTTCCCAAACACCTGTCTGACGCCTTCTGATATAGTTAGTGTGAACGTAGCCTTTGCTATAATAAGTAATTCTTTGCTATAAAGCAAGTTGTGTAAAAAAAAAAAAAATACTGATCACTTCCCAAAAGTAGTAGTACAATGTTACTATGGTAACATTATACTACTTTGGTCATAGTGAAATATGAAAAAAAGAGAAAAAAAAAGTAATAAAACATTAGAATTTATATATATATATATATATATATATATATATATATATATATATATATATATATTTAAATCAATCAATCAATCAATAGATCAATTTTCAGATATACCCCATAAAGTTTGTAAACTCTATAACTTTCCTACAGACTAAATAATACATACTAATTTGGTTATTTTCTCCAAAGAAATGTAGCAGAATACATCTCGGCCTAAATTTATGAAGAACAATTATTTATTTTCAAACTTTTATAACAGAAACAAAGAAAAACGTGTTTTTTTTCAAAATTGTTGGTCTGTTTTTGTTAATTAGCAAAAAATAAAAAAACCCCAGTGATGATTAAATACCACCAAAAGAAAGCTCTAGTTGTGTGAAGAAAATGATAAAATTTTAGTTTGGGTACAATGTTGACCGCGCAATTGTCATTCAAAGTGTGAGAGCGCTGAAAACCTGAAAATTGGCTCATGACAGGATTGAAACTTATATCCAATTCTTGGGGTGAAGCTAATAGACCCCTGATGTCTCCATAAAGAGGACCTTGTCACTACTATCACATCGGGGGCTTGTCAGTGCATACATACATCAATACATGGTTAGGACATATGTACATATCTAAACACCTATTACACGCCCTACACACACCAGAAGTGGAAGAAACATTTTAGGGCTGTTATTTTAATTTATGGGTTGCCTATTAGCAATTTTGGATATCTTCATTAATTGCCTTTCACAAACGTGCATAATTTACTAGGTTAGCTAATGCATACTAGAACTAAAACACCTAAATGTGGCCTATATGTGCAAGTTTTGATAACCTCTGGTCATGAAAGGGATAAATAAAAACAAGAGCAAGCAATGAAAATGGAACTATACCAATTTTTTTATTGTATGCTTATGAAAGTATAAACGTTTAAATTGTCTTCATGTACTCTGATTAAACAGAGAGTCCTTTGGTGAAATCAATTGGCCAAAAGTGGAGATCTAGCGATCCTCTCTGCCATTCACTGACACACTTTTGACCAACAGATGTCAAGCCTGCCCACCACGACAAGGTAGACTCTCCTAGGCAGGACCTACACTAAGCTACACTAAGCTACCCTACTCGATGCTAGTCATCGTTTTTCTAGTGTTGGGTGTATGTTTGTAGCAGGCCTCATCCTATAATCTGTGTGTGCGATCTACTCTCTCCTCATTTGGTTGTCATCTCTCTAAAGTATGTAGCAGTCAGTTTATGTACAAGTGGACGTCCTCTGTTAGTGTAGGTCAGTGTATGCCAGTCAATGTGTGTTGACCAATGTGTGTCTGTAAAGAAATGTCAGTCCTGTCCTCACCTCGGCACATATCCATACTGCTTTGCAATCTGAAGTTCTTCTTCTCTTCTTTCAAAAAATCTTGGTCTTCCCGATTTGACAACGAAGGACTCCATCATCCTGTCCATCTGTGCGTACAGCTTTAACTTGAAGATCTCTTCTTTCTTCTCTGGTGGAAATGGTTTGGAGATTTCGGTGGATTGATTTTATGCCTTTAGATGAAAAATGAAATAATGTTTAGTTTGGTGCACAGAATATAACACTCAACATGTCAAGCCTAAAAATTACAAACAACAAACTTCAGTTCCCTAAATTTTCCCTAGGTGACATTTTTAAAAGCCCCATAGGTCATCAGTTTAAATTTAAAGTGCTATTAAAGGCTATTTTTTTAAAATTAAAATAAAAAAGAGGTTATATTTCTCTGCTTTGTGCAAGAATATTGCACAGAGCGGTTCCTTTGCCTCATCTTTGGGCAGTCCCATATTGACGCTGTGCACTCCTTCATTCGAGTGCCCCCTTAGCAAGCGGTGTACTATAGGGGCACTCAAGTGGGTGTGCTCCTGAGCCAGACTGTATGCATCTATAGACAAACACACCGGTAAGCCATGCCCTCGCTTCCTTCTCACTGGGAGTTTAATTGACAGCAGCAGGAGGCTAGGGCTCCCACTGCTCTCAATGTCTCTTGTGAGACTAGGAAGTCAAAGGAGTGGTGCTGCAGACGGGACACTGCTGGAGTGGTGACAAAAAAGTAATCTAATGTGTTTAGGGACAGAGAGGCAGAACAAATAGTGGGGAGCTTCATACCTTAATGCAGAGAATGCACTAAGGTTACAACCATATTGACTTTGGAACAACTTTAAATACATATTAACCACTTCCAGTCCGGACACTTTCACCCCCTTCCTGTCCAGGCCAATTTTCAGCTTTCAGCGCTATCACACTTTGAATGACAATTACGCGGTCATGCCAACACTGTACCCATATGAATTTTTTTAGCATTATTTTTAAGAAGGATAAAACTTTATTTTGGTGGTATTTATTCACCATTGGGATTTTTTTTTTTTTGCTTTATAAATGAAAATGTCCAAAAATGTTGAAAAAAGTGTTTTTCTTATAAAATTTTGCAATAAAATAATCTTTCTTCACAAATCTTGGCCAAAAATGTATTCAGCTATGTTTTTAGTAAAACAAAATAACCCAAATTAGGTTATAACTAAAAATTATAATTAAAAAAAAAAATATTTACATTTTTATTTTTTTTATAATATTATTGATGTACTTTTTTTTTTTAACATACTGTCACCCTAGCAGTACAGTGTCACCATAGTGACACTGTACTACTTGTGGGGAGGTGATGAAGATTTTTTTTTTACACTGATTGCTTTTACACCCATAAATCGCATACTAGCGCTCATTATGAAGGACTTACCTTAAAATGAAGCCATCCAGCGGTGTGCTGTCATCACTGCAGAGGCTTCCATACTTCAACCCTGTCTACCACTCTAACTCTGAGCGCCCCTTAGCAAGGGCTACCCATGTGGGCACGCTCCCAAACAGGCTGTGTGTGTCCATAGGCACACAGAGTACTGGTAATCCATGCCCCCAGCTCCCTCCTCATAGGAGTTTGACTGACACCAGCATGGACCTATGGCTCCCACTGCTCTCATAGTCTCCTATGAAGATTTTTGTACATATTTATTCAATTATTTAACATTTTGACATGAGCACTAGGGTCCCTTCTAGGCAGCTTCCATTTGGACCATAGTATTGATACTTTGGTCATGAACTTGTTTGGTGCTTTTTCTGCTGCAGGGACCGCACTGACTGACTGAGTTGTCAGTAATATACTTTATAAACCTTTTAATTTGTAATTTATTTATTTTGGATAGTAGGAAATGTAAATTTGTCATTTAGACAAACAAAGTGATTTTGTCTCCCTAGCAGTGAAACAAAGAGCAGTAAAACCTTGAAAGGGGTTCTAGCTGCTTGCTACCCAATCTGAAACACAGAAAAATGATTTGGCTTTAGATACACTGTTTCTGACACCCACGGCCCAAACCCCCCCCAACCCCCCGCCCCCCCCCCCACACACACACACACACGCTCTCTCTAATTCTGTTTTACATTGAAATGTAAGTGTTTGTCCCCCTGTGTGATTATAGTTCCCATTTTCCAGGCCATTCCAGTTGGATTTGTTTGTTTCTTTTACCTCCCAGTAGTCCCTCTTTTGGAACCAAATCCATCTGTCCTGCGTTCCTCCATAGGTGCCCCTCTTTTTGGACAGATGTGTAGACCTGTATAATAAATGCAATACTTGAAGTAAAAATTAAAACTTCATTTTAAAATAAAATAAAAATAACAAACATATTATACTTACCTGCTCTGTGCAACGGTCTTGCACAGAGCAGCCCCAGTCCTCTCTTCTGCAGTCCCCCGCTGGTTTGGACTTAGAAAATACAGCCAGTTCCCAGAAGACCTCCTGCTCTCTAGTTCCTATGTCACCTTCATCCATGCTCGCCTCCAGAACTTCTCCCGAGTTTCTCCCATCCTGTGGAACTCTCTACCCCAATCTGTCCAGCTGTCTCCAAATCTATCCACCTTTAGATGATCCCTGAAAACCTTTCTCTTTAAAGAAGTCTGTCCTGCTTCTACCTAGTAAACCGCCATTTAATTTCCTCCATCAGCTCATCCCCCCCACAGCTATTACCTTTTGTATCACTCCACCCTTCCTCCTAGATTGTAAGCTCTAACGAGCGGGCCCTCTGTTTCCTCTTGTACCAAATTGTATTGTAACTGTAATGTCACCTTCATTTTGTAAAGTGCTGCGCAAACTGTTGGCGCTATATAAATCCTGTATAATAATAATAAAAAAAGATGATGTGACCACAATGAAGATGGTGGGTGAAAGGACCTGGCATGCGGTGGCTTTGGGCAGAACAAAGCTAAATTTGCTGGGCGGATGTAGAACAAAAACGTTACACTCACTTTCCCTGCTGTCTAGTAGATGGACCCATAGATGAGCTAAGATGCATTTCACGTGATAAAAGTTAGTTGAACAGCAGGAAGATTGAATGTGGCTTTTCATGTGACTTCAGGGAAGAGCAATTGAGATTGGTAAAGCCCAGTTATTTTTTTCCTGTTCCCCCATCAGGTGTAAAAAAAAAAATAGCCTAAGCTGCAAAACTCATCTTCAACCTGAACACTTGCTGCAGGTCATTGACTTACCCAGGCTCACACTTATGCAGATTTCAGTGCGTTATCCAGTTTGCAAAAACACACTACAGTCCATTTAACATGGCTTCCTATGGATCTAGTTCACATCTGTGCGTTTTGAGCTGGTGCTTTTTTTTCTTAAAGGGTCAGGGACATTTTTTTCCTGCAGTAAGATTGCGTTTTACGTGTAATAGACCTCATTGGACCCGCACCAAAAACACAAGTGTTGCGCTTTTTATGCATTTTGCTTTTTTTTTTTTTTTTTGTAATTGGAAAGTATGACAGTTCTGTTCATGTAGTGTGACTTTGATGTGACTTTGATGCATCAAAAACATGTTTAAAAAATGCAAAATGCACTGCAAAATGGGCCAAATGGGCCAAAAAGACATACCAACTGCAACCTGCATATATGTGAACCTAGCCTTAGAAAGTATAGAAACCACTGGATCAGCATGGCAGACAAATATCATTTACAGAATTCATTCAGCAACGGCAGCCTATGTATTTCTGTCATTACAGGTTTCCTGGCATAAAGACAGAGTCCGCACTTACCTGTAAACTTGTAGAAGGCCTCTATGTCTTGTATAGATGTTTCGGGGAACCCCAACAGAGATTTCAAGAGTGGGTGTTCTCTATTGGTTCCTTCTTTCCATCTCTTCACTGGTCTCCCCTCCTCTGCAGATGATGAAGGAATGTTGTGCTTTTCTCTTCATCATCATTCTTGTGTCCTAATCACAAAGCACAGGTTTGTAACCGAGGATGTAGGTGTATGTCCTGTCTGATGCTATGTTACAGTACTGACCCCCCAACCCCAAAATACAACTTTAAATCTTAAAATAACTTTATTTATAGCTATATTATCACTAAGTAACAGAAATCAAAGAACTGTAAAGGCAAACCCGATACAAACTGTCCCCTAACACCCCCCCTCACAGCTGAAGCCAACTGCTCCCCCACCCCCAAACTCCCCAAAAACACCTAATCTAAACTTTAAAAACAAATATCAATTCTATTAAATAAATACAATCAAAAAGAAATTGAAAATCGATAAAATTAAGCAAGCCTGTTCAGCGATCCGGGTCTCTCTTCTGTCTTCAGACAACGATGCGAGCACCATCCAGCTCTGAAGGGAGAGTGAAGTGACAGTTGGGAGCTGACCAGTGACAGTTGGAGCTGAGCTCAGGTCACATGACCTCACCTCAGGTGCAGCCTGTTGCTATGGATCATTCTTCTTAGTGATCAGATGATTGGACCTAATAAATAAAAAAAATATATATACAGTACATATATTGTATATTTTTATATATAGCTATATCTATCTACAGTATAAAAATTTTTTTCCTCCTAGCTTTGGCTAGGGGAGTATACTATCTATCAATCTATATACAGTACTATATATATATATATATATATATATATATATATATATATTATACACACACTTTTTTTTGTCTATTTTATTTCCCCCTAGGCTAGGGGAATATTTTATATATTATATATATATATCTATATATATGTGTATATATATATATATATTTACGTATTTTCCCCTAGGTAGGATTGGACCTAATAATATAAAAATATGTTACCAGTACATCTATCTGTCTATATACAGTACTCTATATATACGGTATATATTATTTTTTAACATAACTTATGTTGTCATGGCTGCATTAAAGTCCCATGGGAGACTATTTCCTTTTTGACAAAATATAGGGATGTAGGAGCCTCTGACCTTTGATTACCCACTCATTCTATAGCCAGTTAGTAAAGTCGTGTCAAGTCTCCAGGTTTTGGAGAGTCACTCTGGGGAGTATTAAGGTCCATGGTGATTGGGTGGTCCCCAAAAGATCATTGCATTGATTGTGGCAGTCACTAGAAAAAGGAGGTCCTTCTGTGAGAGCCATATATAATCAATTCTAGAATAATAGTTATGCAGAGGGGAAAAGAAAGTGTAATCCTCATCTCCAGCATGTCAAGTGCACCAGGAATCATGGAGCATATAACTTTTGTAGCTGGAGGATGATATGTCATGGGTGAGGTGCTGGAGGGATGTATCCTCAAGTGAATTCAATGCTAAATTAAAATCCCCACTGAGGACAAGGATGCCAGATTGGAAGGAGGCTAGGATAGTAGATATATTACAAAAAAAAGCTCACTTGAGCTTAATTAGGGCTGTATATAATGGCAATGGTAATTGGTCTCTCCCAAACTGAGCTTTGAGAAATACCTAGCGACTCTCTGTGTTTACCAATGAATCTGCAATTTCCTGTGGGATAAGTTTGGATATAAAAATAAACGGTAACCCCTTTTGTCTTAGCCTGTGGGTTTGTAGCATGGCATGTTGTGGGAAAGTCCATATTAGATAATTATGGAACATTGTCTGATCCAAAGTGGGTTTCTTGTAAAAAGATAATGTCTGCTGTTAACGTTTTCATGTACATTAAAAGTTGTGATTGTTTTTCTAGCAAGTTGAGTCCTTTCACCTTAAGCGAGACTATTTTAAGGGATGCTGACACTAAATTATGTGGTCTCAAAATTAATTTTGACAACTTATGGATAAGTGTTAACCTTATATTATTGTGTTAACTGATAAAAGGTCGTATAAGAGGTGTAGATTGTGTTTGCCCATTTAAGATTGTCTATAAGATGTCTTGATAAAAGAAAAAAAAAAAGGGGGGGGGTTGTAGTTTAGACAATACTAGATGAGGTAAATGAGTAGTGGGTGAGAAGTAAGAGAAAGAGGTAAAGATAGGGGTAACTATAGAGAAATTAGTGAAGATGTGGACAGAAGGGTTATGAAAGATTATTCCGACAGCTGGGTTTGGCCAGCTAGCACACCCTGTGGAAAAGATATAAGTTCTAATGGGTTGGGAGATGTTGGGTGTGCCAAAGATGTATTAGGGAAGTGAGAATGGGGATCTCAATATCTCAAAACCACCATTTAACATTTATTTCCTATTGATCTAGTTCACATCTGTGTTTTCTGAGCTAGTGCAGATTTTTGAAAGGGTCATAGACATTTTTCCCACAACAAATTTTTTCTTGTAATTGACTTCAACGAAACCGCATCAAAAACACATGCAAAATGCATG